AATTCTCGTGCGACGTGCTCCACTGCCGGACACCCTTCCAGAACAATTTTTTCTCGTGTGTCCTGCTTGACCGCATGTAGAACACTCTTTTCTAATTGGACCCTCGCCTTGGGATGGAATGCGTTTTGTGTTTCTTGGCCTGCCTGGCTGGCGTTTATCCATTATAGGTGGCCTAACAATCATCAAATCATCGGGGATAATGGAAAATCCGATCCGGTTCGATGACGTCATATTGAATCCAATTTCATCAAAGATCTGATCCGGTTTCAAACAGGTTTTGACCGGTTTTCCCTTCCCCAAATCCGAATCGGTTTAATCCGATCCGGTTTGGATCCGAAATGAAATTTACAATTTAAAAAAAACATTTTTAGGACCTCATATATAACACAAAATGCAACATAGGTTCATTAAAGTAGTTAAAACATACATCAAAAGTCGAAATAGAAAGAGTTTAGAAACTAGTTAACTAACAATAATAATAAAGTGGCGTTATAACATTTTGCCAAATAGAAAGAGTTTTTGTGGTCTTCCACTTTGTGTCGCCTTCACTAAAATGTTCTTCAACCGCCACACAAATGGTTAGGGGTCTCATCAATACCATATTCTTCATTTTCGTCTTCGTCTTCATCGTCATTGTCTTCGTTTACTTCCGGAGGTGTTGATAAGCCTTGTGCATATTCTTCATCCATTATCTCCGGTTCAACATTTTGTGCTAGTGAGCCTTCTAGTGATGCCAAGTGTTGTATACGTTCCCCCGAATCCAAGTAATCCTTCAAGAAAATGCAAACATCTACCGCAACCGGGGTAAGATTCGTCCTCAACTTCGATAAAACTTTACCACTAAAAGAAAAATAGGATTCCGAAGCTACCGTGGAAGCTTGGACGGTTAGAAAATCGCGGGCCATGACGGAGATAATAGGAAATTGTGCTTCCTTTTCTCTCCACCAAGCCAAAATATCAAAAATTTTAAATTGTGGTGCACTCATGAATTTTAAAAATTTTGACCCCATATAAATTCCAAGTTCGCTACTAGGGGTTAGTGTGTGTGCTCGCTTGCTTTGTTCCTCCAAAAGGTAGTTACAGAGGTCGATATGAAAATCCGTTCGACCCCCACTACTAGCCGATGCACCACTAGTAGAGTCGGTTACACTTGCAAAAGTGTTTGACATATTGTCATATTTTGTAGCGTAAATGTCAAACAAATTAGTAGAGGTATTATTAAAATTGTGTATCTGGTTACAGATGTAGTTTGAGTCATCTTTGTGCAAATTTAAAGAGATGGACATTTTGGTAATCAAAGCATCTACACCCGTAACATTGATACATGGGTTTAATGTCTTGACGCAAGTAAAAAGTGGTGGCATTTCTTTGAAATATTTGACTAATTTTTCTCTCATTGGTCTCGTAACCAAAACAAATATTTGACTTCTTTGTTCAAAATGCTCCAATTGCGCGGACATCAACCATAATTCATTTAGTAACAACGGACTTGTAGGATAATACACGCCCGGTAAAAAAGTGGTTGATTGTTTAAAAACTTTTAACATTTCCACAAAATCTTCCATCAAATCCCAATCAAAATCCGAAACCGGGTTTTTTTCTTTTGAAATTGTGTCGTAAAATAATTGCAAAGCGATTCTTTGACGTGTCAAACTTTCAAACATCATGCACGTCGAACTCCATCTAGTGTCAACATCCCAATGAGGACTATATGAAGTTACGTTAATGGAAATGGCAAACTTTCGATATTTTTCCATTGTAGCTTTATTTTTTTCCAAAAACTCTAGTTAAAACATTTTTTAATTTTTCAATCGTCGAATCTAACATTTTTAAACCATCTTGTACCGCTAGATTAATAATGTGACAAACACATCGAGTATGAAAAAAACGAGCCATCCAAAATAGGTCTATATTTTGCAATTTATCTTTTTGCGGCGGCAGTATTGTTACTTGCATTGTCAAACGAAATAGAGAAGATTTTGTCGATTAAATTATAAGTCTCTATAACGCTTACTAAAATTGCAAATAATCGTGCCCCCCGTGTGAGGATGCGGAAAAAGTTCAAAAGCAATAACTCGTCTGTTCATTACCTAAGTAGAGGGGTCTATCCAATGTACCGTGATGACAAGATAGCTTTTGGGACAACTCCAGGTGGAGGAACAAACATCACAAGTTAAAGAAACACTGGTTTTTATATTTAAAAATCTCAATTGCATATCTTTTTGGCTATATCCCAATACTTTAAAGCATCACGTCTAAGAGAATTGTGACTTACTTGCCGGTATTGTGGTTGCATTTTTTCCCGCAAAATCCTTGTTAATCGTGGGTTGTTGAAGTGGTTGAAAGGCAAGCCCTCTTGAATCACGAACTTGCAAAAGCTTTCACGAATGTCATCATTGTTGTAAATAAAGATCGCCTCGTCGGGAATAATATTTGGTTGATCCGGATTGCCTTGACCTTTTACAACCGGACAAGTTTTTGTTACATGACTCCACAACGTACTATTGCCATCTTTTCCCAAAAACATCCCGCACTTCTTGCATCTCGCCTTTTCCTTCCCGTTCGACAACAAACACAAATCATAATGTTCCCACACTTCTTTATTCCGAGTGGTTGGTATGATTTTCACCACCGTTGCATCCGAATCTTGACCCGCGGTAGAATTTATCGAGTTCATTTTTGTGGAGTATTATAAAACCAGAAGTCTAAAAGTAGTAGAATTTTGTGTAACATTGAAATCTAGCAAATGCCATCTATTTACATGTGTTGAGGAGGCCATAAAAGTTAAGAAATAGCCAAACTAACCGTTTTTTGGAGCTTACTAACGATTAGAAAAAAATTGATTTTTTTTCTAAAATGCCAGTTTTTTAACGGTCACAAAAAAATCTGATTTCAAACCGGTTTTGGATCCGGTTTTCGTCGAATCCGGTTTACGATCTGGGGGTCGATCCGATTTTACGTGTGAAACTCCAAACTGGTTTCAATCCGGTCACCGGTTTAATCCGAACCGGTTCGGTCAAAACCGTTTTTGACCAAATCCGGTTTCCGGATCGGATCAGATCCTATGGGCCAATCCAGTTTTTGTGTGCATCTCTAGTGATGGGTGGTGGGTGGTGGTTGGTGGTAGTGGCGGGTGGTAGTCATAACGGTGGGTAGTAGCTAGGTGATAGTGATGGGTGGTGGAGGTGGGTGGGTGGTGGTTGTGGTGGGTATGGTGATGATGGTGGGTGGGGGTGATGGTGACAGTTGGTGGTGGTCGATGGTGATGGGTAGTGGTGGCGGGTGGTGGTGATGGGTGGTGGTAGTAGCAGGTGGTAGTCATAGTGATGGGTGGGTAGTAGTGATGTGTGGTGGAGGTGGATGGTGGTGGTGGGTGGGTGGTGGTTGTGGTGGGTGATGGTGATGGTGGTGAGTGGGGTTGGTGGTGGTGATGGGGGTGGTGGTGGTAGTGGTAGTGGTGGATGATGGTCGTGGTTAGCGGTGGCGGATGGTGGTGATGATGTTGGGTGGTGGTTTTCGTGGGTGGTGGTGATGGTTAATGGAGGTGGGTGGCGGTGACGGGTGGTGGTGGTGGATCGTATTGTTTGGGTAGTGAGTGGTGTTGGTTAGTGGATTTTTAATTTTTTTTTTACTTATTTATTAGTTTATATTAATATTGTTTGATAATTTTAATTTTAAAAAAAAATTGTGTGGTCAAAATTTGTTTTCTAATGTTCTCGCAATAAGAAATGTTCTCGATTGAACGCTCCATATATATATATATATATATATCTATCTATAGATATATATATATATCTATATATATATATATATATATATATATATATATATATATATCTATATATCTATATATATATATATATAGGGAGAGAGAGAGAGAGAGAGCTATGTTCAAATGTGGATTGACATCTATTGTGCGGACGTGTGGACAATGCTATTGTTTGAGAATAACAAAGAAAATATGTTGTTTGATAATATGAATACGTTCAATCTTACATAACTATTGTTAATATAATATATTCTCACTAATTAAATCGTCTATAAGGTTATTATAGATTTATTATTATTATTCTCATTCTGTCAGAATGTTGTCAGAATGTTTATTAAGTCGTATTCTGTCAGAATGAAAATGAGTGAAAAACGATGTGTGAGAACAAAAATGAATAAGAATTAGTGAGAATACATGAAAATGACAATATTTTTGTAAGGTTGAACATATTCGCATTACTAAACAACTTATTCTCTTACTAATTCTCATAGAATAGCACTGTTCACATGTCCGCACAATAATTATCCATCCACATTACAACCTAGCCATATATATATATATATATATATATATATATATATATATATATATATATATATATATATATATATATATATATATAGAGGGAAGTTCAAATGTTTCTCACATCTATTGTGTGCTAGAATGCACCAATAAGAATTTAGTATTAATTATATGTATATTAAATGCTATCCATACTTATAATTCATTTTTATGGAAACTAATTAAATTCTTCATTAATGTCAACAATAATATTTTTTCAGAATAAATTCATATCTAGAAGAATGAAAGTGTCTTCCAACAGATTGAAAGTGTATTCTAGTAGAATACCCTCTTGTTCTTCATATTCAATGCAACTTTATTGTATTTTAAGTGAGTGAGTCGTAAAATAAAATACGAACTCATATATAAAAACCTAGATGCGAATTTATTCTGAAAGAATGTTGCTGACATTAATGACGGATTTAATTAGTTTTCATAAAAAGAGAATTGTAATTATGGATATCATTTGATATACATATAATTATGAAAATCATTTAATATCTATATTTATTTAATTAAATAATTATTTAATTTACTAAATTTTCTATTGGTGCATTTTAGTACACAATAAATGTAAGAAAAACAAAATAACCTATATATATATATATATATATATATATATGTATATATATATATATAGTTTTAAGTCGGCTTTACCCTTCATAAATAACAAAAAACAAAGCAAGGAATGAAACTTCCAAAGACATGACAAAATTCTGTAATCCTGTCTTCATCCTTCACTCAACATATTAAAACCCCGCATATCCATATTACAACTCAATTTGGCAAACCTCTCCTCGCTCTCTCCAATCCTCCAAAGTTATATTAAAAGGATGAGCGAAAAACTGGTAGAAAAAGCCATCAATAGTCTCGGAAAAGGCTTCGATTTAACCTCCGATTTTCGACTAAAGTATTGCAAAGGCAAAGACCGTTTAGTTTTTCTTAATGAAAATGAATCAAATGAGCTTCTTGTACCTGGGTTCGGCTCCTTCAAAGGTGTATCACGTGATATCAAATGTGATAAAGGCGATAGGGTTCGATACCAATCTGATATTCTCGACTTCAATCAAGTAAGTTGTGAGTTTTGAGTTTATAAACGAATGTATAAACTGTGTTGTTCTTTCTTTTTTAATATGTAATGCTTTCAGATGTCAGAAGTTTTCAACAAAAAGTGCTCAGGGCCAGGGAAAATTCCGAATGGATTCTTTAATGCGATGTTTGCATTCCAAAGTGGTTCGTGGGCTAGTGATGCTGCTAACACAAAGTATTTAGGATTGGATGGTTACTTCATTATGTTGTTTAACGTCCATCTTGATCGTTATCCCTTAGTTCTCTCCGATGAAGTTCGAAATGATGTTCCTTCAACTTGGGATCCACCTGCTCTTGCAAGGTACGCAAAATGATCATCATTTTTTTTTTCTCTAGATTTTGATTATTAAGCTCAAAATAGTGATTACCAATCTTCAAAAAATCGAAATTTTGTATGTGAAATTAAGTTATAAAGTCAAATCAGCGTAACATGGCATAATCCACTTGGTGGATGTGTATCACAAACATGGCTGAATTTGACCCACGATAGGTGACCAAACGAGTTAAAAATGACCAAGTCAAGAAAAGGACACACATTTTAATTACTTAATAATTGATTCTAGTTATGATTTATAAGTTTGTTAATAGATATTCAGTTAAGATTTGTAATTTTTAATTAGAAGAATTATATATTTTATTTAAGGATAATATGAAGGCGTGTACTTTTTCAAAAGAACAGAAGGAATTCCAAAAATGTCAATAGTGCCAGGTAAAACATTTTGCTTGTTTGACTGGGCTAATTATTCTTATAAAAAGTCAACAATATCAGTGGCTGATCTTTCATTATCATATTGAATTCGAAGGAACGCGATTGGTTTATACTTTTTTTTACGGTACAGAAATTAATAGAAATTTCTACCAAAATTAGATCATTAAATCACAATGACATGTTAATGATTTGTTTTTGAATAATCATGACGTTTGACATTATTGATTTACTTTATTTTGGATTATTATTATTATATATTGATAAGGTAGGGTACCATGATTAAGCTTAATGAATGATTGATTTGGACACAAAATAATTGCCGGAAATTATCTACACTAGTAGAGATTTGTACATATCCATTCTTAAACGGCGTATAATATAATTTCATTATATTTGTTAGCGATAAACAATAGGTTTTTTTATAAACATAACAATTTGTGTTTCAGTATGTTATATTGTAAATATATAAATAAATTTTTATTCTAAAATAAAACTAGGGCATGTAAATATACATATGTTATATGTACAAAATAGTTAGTGTATAATATGTCTCTAACAAACTTGCGAGCCTACAATCATGTCTTGTAAATGTGATAGTATTTTTTTTTAATTATATTATGTTTATATATGTGTAATTTTTATTACAGATTCATAGAAAAATATGGGACTCATATAATAGTTGGGATAAGCATAGGGGGGCAAGATGTAATATTGTTGAAGCAAAACAAATCCTCTAATTTGGAACCTTCACAACTAAAGAACCATTTGGAAGACCTTGGAGATGAAATGTTCAATGGGGCATGCACTTTTCCCCCTCATCAACTCAAAACAAACAACAGGAACAAGGTTTAAAGAAAACCCGATTATTGTATACAAAACAATATTTATATATGTGTTTATAGTTATGGTGATGCACGAATCCGATAAATATGTCAAATTTACTTGAAAATTAATTAAGAGAAGTTAATGTTATAATTTTCATACAACATATAGAGTACATGTTACATTTCCTTGTTCTTATGGATTATTGTAATGGTTACTAACTAGTCTTAAACATGTGTAATGGTTACTAACTAGTCTTAAACATGTAATTGCAGACACCATCAGCGTTTAGTACTGTATTTGACCCGGAACCAATGCTCTTCAACGGCTTCTCTTCTACCGCAACAAAGAATGTAGGTTTGATTGTCATATATAAATATAATAAATGGAATAAACATCCCTTAGTCTTTGTTGAATTAAAAAAAAAAGACTTATCGGATCTTGATACTATAGTAATTATGATAGTAATTAAAGAAACGGAAAAGATTATAGATCTAACCTACAATTTAGACTTTGGAATATTTATTTATCATTATTATTATATTGCCGTGTTGTGCAAGTATCAATCTTGAAGGAACAAAATGGGAAACTAGTATTTTTTATTTTTTTATGAAGCATTATTAGGCGATTTCAAACCTAGCTAGTGTCATGTGTGGACATGGATTCTTGACTTGGTTCCAATGACCGCGTCATTGGTGTACTTTATTTTACAACTAATTTTTTATTTTTTTATTTTATGTTATAATATAGTCATATTAGATAACCAAAAATAATAGGTCATTTTCTATCATTTATTATTAAATAAATAATTATTTAATCTAATATTTGTGCATATGATATAGGGGATAACTGTAATGTGTTCTAAAAGAGGAGGTGATCTTACATCAACCACACATTGTGAATGGTTACTGACTGTACCTTCGATGCCAGATGCCATTAGTTTTGACTTCATTCCGATCACCTCTTTACTTCCAGGTGTTCCCGGAAAGGGCTTCTTATCACATGCCATTAACCTCTACCTTCGTTGTAAGTATTCTTATTTTCCTTTTAATCAATCACCAATAATGAATTTGTATTTTATATCTATAAGTAAAATTATATATCAAATAAAAGTGTTATATTTCCTTAGATTTTCTTATTTGATAATTGTTGTAGATGTCAAAATGGCAGCTGGTTAGATAGTTAGTAATAAGCGTGTAATTTTTGGGTAGGTCGTCGGACCGAGTTCATTGACTTAAAGTGCCTTTTATCCATTTTTTTAAATGATAGTGTCTTAAACATGACTTAGAATCGTATTATATTATTATTATTATTATTATTATTTAATTTGTTTGTTAATAAAATAATTTTGAATATTTTATCATTGAAAATAAATAAATAATTTAAAGTTTACTCACAAATAATCCTGTTATTGTTGTGACTTGTCACATGCAGACAAACCTCCTATAGCAGATTTGGTATACTTCTTGGACTTTCAAGCCCATAAACTATGGGCTCCAATTCATAATGATCTCTCGTTAGGCCCAACTACAAACAGGGCCATCAAAACCCCAGCATTGAATTTCAACTTGATGGGACCCAAGCTCTATGTTAACACTACCCAGGTATTAAATACACACCATAAGTAATTTATTGATAGTAAGTTTTTTGAAATATGACTAAACATCAAAAATTGTCTTTTACAGGTTACAATATCAAAGAAGCCCGTTACTGGAATGCGGCTATATCTCGAGGGTATGAAATGCAACAGGTAATAAACTTGTAAATACATATATTTTATTCATTGTTATTTGCATCATTTGTAATAAGTATAGTTATTGATTATACCAGGTTGGCCATACACCTCCAACACTTATCAGAGACACCGATATTATTCAGAGATAGAATAGGTGAAGCTTTAAACTGGCGTGGATCAGAGGACATTCCTGATCCACGTTTTTTTGAACCAATTCAATGGAAGAAGTTTTCTCATGTTTGCACAGCACCGATTAAGTATGATCCTAAATGGGCATTGCCTAGAAAAGATGCCTCATTTATTGTCACGGGAGCTCAACTTCATGTCAAAAAGCATGAGTCAAAGAGCATTTTGCATCTTCGATTATTGTATTCTAGGGTTTCGAGCTCATGTGTAGTGCAATCATCTTGGACTTTAGGCCAAACCAGTACATCACAAAGATCGGGCTTTTTGTCTGCATTAAGTACCACATTAACTGGAAATCCAGAGAAAGAGATAACAACAGCAAATGTGGTGGTAGATTCGGGCATTTATCCAAATGGACCACCAGTGGAGGTGCCATCACCAAAACTTCTAAAGTTTGTTGATATGTCACAAGTATGTAAGGGACCAAGGGACAATCCCGGGCATTGGTTAGTCACCGGGGCTAAACTTGACTTGGATAAAGGGAAAATACGTCTTCTTGTCAAGTTTTCTTTATTGAACATATTTTGAATATGAAAATAAATAAATTGAATATGATATTAAGAGAGGGTTGCAGTAATTATGTTAGTTTCATTATGTGCCCACAAAGTTCGAAGGCTTAAAGTCCTCTAAAAATAGAAGCATGGAGTAGTCAGTTATGTAAATATATGGAAATACCTAGTAAGGTGAAGAAAAAACTTCATTTTTTGTATAAATTTATTAATTCCTTGTAATAATATAATTTGATGTCTTTTGATTCATTCATTATTCCATATGGTTTTTTAGTGTATACGTAATTTTAAGTGATAGCTTTTCTTTCCCAAATTTAAAAAATTTCAACCATATTATTACAGTTCCTTTTAAATACCAAAAATATTATTAAAACTCTTTATGGGGTGTTATGAACTACGAAATCGTTAAAAATGATCGTGAATTATTTGCTCATAAACAAAATCAAGCGTGGGTTGGCTCCAAAACGAGGAAACGAATTTAACCAATATTGGGGCACATTATTCTATGAACAATATTGGAAGCAAGAATTCAAATCAATTTTAATCAAATTGACTAACACGAATTTGGTAAAACTAAAGTTCTACGATAAATGAGGACTAAAAAGACATTAGGGGACAGTTGATGAAAATTCATACACTTACAAGAATCAACATTACTTTGGGAGTAAATTTAAAAGAATGTACCACACTTTAGGTTCAAGATCTCGCCCCTATTAATTTGAAATCAAATTTAAATAGGACTTTAAACATGCCATAGATCTTAAGCACAAATTCCAATCATTGAATCCAATATTCCCTCCCATCATTTATGTTACATGTAATGACACCGGCACAAATCAATAACAAGAACCACCAAAGAGCATCCAAACATTTTAGAATAGAGGTGAGTTGGCTACAGCATAAAGAAAAAGTAAATGAAATAAAAAAAAAATTAAAAAGTTATAGAGTTAAATACTATAATAAGACATAAAGAAAAGGTTGAGTTTTATGTTCTATTTAATTACAAATTGGACTTCTTAAATTGAGAATTTCATTTATAGAAATGTAAGAATTATTCTATCTCATTTTCCATGGTTTAGCATACTCCCTAGGTCATCCCAACCTTGTTTTACTTTTTCCAACGGTGGAAAATACATAAATAAAAATCTATGGAGACGCTAGAAAACTTTACATAGTACAATTAGTAAGGGGGGACAAATCCAAAAGCATTCCAAGCAAAACCATTTAATTTAGCTTTATGTTTGATCAAATTAAAGGATAGCAATTGAATATCATCATTTTCAAAGGAGAACACTTCATATTATTAGGTGTAACATTCATGTATTACATAGGTTAATTAAAAAATAAATAAATATAAATGTTTAAATATTTAAAAACTTTGGATTTATAAAAAAAAATAAGAAAAATAATGAATTATTAAAATTGATTTTTTTTATCTTTTAAATTTAAATAAATAAAGAAAATAAACTAATGAGCTTTAATTTGGAAATTTGGAAATAAGAAGGTAAATGCATTAATGAAATTTATATTCATTTATTACTATATTTATTTAATTATTACATTAAAGTATTATGTGAAATTTATTAAAATAGAAAACCCATAAAATGACATGTGGAAAAGAAATTAATTCAAAATAACCACAAAGTGAGATTTGGCAAATTGAATGAGAGTATGACATGTGGCAAAAAAAACTTTATTTATTAGAGTAGATTATTACTATATTTATTGTAATTATTACATTAAAGTATTATATGAAATTTATTAAAATAGAAAAACCCATAAAATGACAAGTGGAAAAGAAATTAATTCAAAATAACCACAAAGTAACATTTGTCAAATTGAATGAGAGTGTGACATGTGGCAAAAAAAACTTCATTTATTAGAGTAGATAAGTGAATTTTGGGCTTTCCAAATATGTCATCGCATCAAGTAGACCAAGGCATATCTTAACTTCACACACCTCTTACCAACCGCTCTAAAATTGAGCTTAAGAAGAAGATCTATCCCATTTTTTTGGAGACAAATGCAATAGCTCACTCCAAGAAAAAACCATTTCAAAATGGTCATCGAGAAGTGACACTGAAGACATGATCAATTTCCTCATCCGGTGAGTTGCAAAACTCATATAAACTGGAGGAAATATGTACACCTCGATGAGAAAGATTATTGGCCAAATGGATTTTGTTTTGAAAAAATGCTAAAAAACAATTTATTTTAGGAGACACACCTAATCCAACTGAAACCAACAAATTGTTGCCAAGAAACAGCCTCATCCATCAGTTTTCTCGAGGATTGAACTGAGAAATTCCCCACAGTCGCGCCAACCTAGTTCCAACACGCTGACAAATTAAAGAGCTACACACAATTTCACGATGTCTAACAACAAATCAACTAATTCAGCAGCTTATTCGCCCCTTCTAATATTCCTCTTCCAAGCCCAGCCCATATGCAAGTCAACAACCCTATTGTTCCATTCAAGAATTATGTCCCTGATTAAGCAATTCTTGTTCGACTCGATATCATAAAGACTTGAATATTTTTCTTTAAGGGGTGAACTCTCGCACCCTTAGCCTTCCAGAAGAAAGTTTGATTTCCAATAACAATACCTCTTTCAAAACGATCAAATAAAGATATACCTCAATTCAAGATCAACATTTATTTAAAAGATGGCAAGCCAAGTTCCTGTTAAGTTATAAGTTCCTATTAAGTTATATTTAGCTAAAGGCTTATCATTAACACAAGAGATATTATAAATAACTTTAATGTAAGAAAACCAAAAATTATTCAGATCATTTTTAAGTCTCCGCCACCATTTAGCAAGAAGTACTAAGATCTAAAACCTACAATACCAAGACCAACATGATTTTTAGAATGAGTGATTGTATTCCAAGCCACCCAATTCATTGTCATACTATTTTCATTACCTCCCCAAGAAAACCTTGTTCTCAAACTCTCTAATAAGTCAATAACTTTCTTTGAGGATTCAAATACACAGATCTAATTTATGAGGACAAGCCTACCACCTAAACATAAATCATTAGCCTTCAAATTTGAAAATTTAGATCTAAATTTCTCCATAATATGATATTAATATTTAGGAAGCTACATACTGACCCTAATGTGAAACCCATGATAAATGAAAGGAATAGTACGTTTATATCACAATATACTAACAAGCCTAGAAATCTCTAAGCTCTTAACACCCACACCATAAACCTTACTTTTATGAAGATTCACTTTCACTCTAGACGCCAAAAAAGAAGCATCTCAGAAGTCTATTTATATTTATAGAGTTAACTGTAGACCATTCACCAATGGAAGTTATGGTATCTGCATACATAATATTAGACAACATATGCCTATTATTCAGGAGATTATTTTTCTCCTAATTCGTACTATTTCTTGGGTTTCTACCGGATACGATTCAAATATATATATATATATATATATATATATATATATATATATATATATATATATATATATAATCAAATTAGTCTTTATCTTTTTTTCAAACCCCACTTCACCAAAACTAGGTTATCAATCAACAATTTATTGCTTGTCTTTTAATGAAGAGTAAATGACATAGTTCTTTCTTTTAATTACTACTTACATTTTCACTCTTATTTTTAGAGATTTACATTTTCTTATTTGTGTTTTAGGGATATAGTTATATCTTAGGCTTTAGCATGTCATTGGGGCTTATATTATTGGGCATATGTAGAGCTAGACCAAAAGAATGATTATAATGCTAAGAATTAAACTTCAAAGTTTCGTTTATGTAGATTTTCGGATGGGAATTTTTGAAGGCTCATGGGCCTTCTAAACCTATGGGTCACCCATTTCATGACTCAGGTAATATATAATGCATGTCGAAGCTAAAGAGGGTCATGTTTCCTTATTTTCTTCTCTTGATTCTCTTTCAATTTCTCTAGAAAAATCTAGTTTAGTTCTTAGCTGCTTCTTGTTGTTGATTCATTATTCATTAGACTAGATCATGTCTTTTGTTAACAAAATAGGATTAAGTGTTAATTTTAGGTTAGAGATTATAGTGATTCTTTCTTGTGTAAAAGTGCGAAGTGATTATTTAGTGAAGTGGATAAATAAATGAGTTAGAGGCCTGACTAGCTCAGAAGCTATGATTGAATCTACCTCTAAATAAAAAACATGTTGTGTTACGCCTATAAACTGTTGTTCTATGAATCTACGCTTGGTGTAATATATGTAGCCATTGAACAAATCATTGTTTTAGAACACACAAATCAAATGAACATACAACATACATAAACGTCATATTTCATACATGTTGGGTTAAAATCACAAGGATATATGTGCATCAATCACAACAAACTAATAACATAAAGATGCTACTATTTTCAAGATTTTGGATTAAAAAAGACTTAGAATATTTCCCAACTTTTCCTACTAAACAAAAACAATAATCACAAAACACTAAAGATAAGAAAATTATGAAGCATAGTTAGGGATCTCATACAAATTTGTACAAAAGTCAAATCTACCCAATTCAATGGCATACAGTATCGATTTTAAAGAACACGTTATCAAAAAATCGATGGCGATGGAGGATGGTGGTGATGGCGACAAATATGGAGGATAGCGACGAGGTTGGAGGATTGTGGTTACTTAGATTGGGGGCGATTTGGCTTGAGGTGTTGGTCAAGAATGGAAGATATCAACTTGTTTATGGGAAAAGGAAAACACAATAATCTTTTCGGTCAATGACATTTTAGGGATGATTCAGTCAGAGAAAATATAAACCGGTCATACCTCTCAAATACGCAAAACAAATTGTTTGACTCGGACTGAGTCATGTCCTACGTCTTATTGGACCCATTAAGAGACATATCAAACAAACCCTTCGTTATGTTACTTGATATTCTAGTTGTTCCAAAATTCAATGTTAATTTGATGTGTGTTCACAGAATTATTAAGGATAATAAGATATGCATGACTTTTAATGAGAAGATTATCTTCAGGATTTACATCAAACTTTGATGGTGGGGAATGGTAGAGAACATTGTGGGGTGTATTACTTTAATCAAGGTAATAAGAGTTGTTATAAGGAAACTTTTGACTTTAATGTTGTTTGTTTTCTTCCAAAGACCATCTGGTATAGCCGACTTGGTTATCCTTCTAATCAGGT